ATATAACAAATCATGAAGAACCCGGGAAAATTAATTACCTCAGCAATTATGCAATTTAAGACTTTAAAGTGTTTGTAAGAAAGACATTAAGTAATAGAAGAAACTCTAAGCAGTTACATTGGTGGACAAAGAATGTCTTCTATAAATAGCATAGCAGTTAGTATGTACAGAAAAGTGCCATTAAAATCTTATCTTAGCACACTGACCCCACTCGCCACGCCACGGCCGGACGTTAGTTACAATTCCAAAACAGAGTTGAAGATTTTCTTTGGYTTCCACCAGTTTTTCGCTGGCATTGTTTGCCACAAATGATGACAGATAAAGTYAGCAAATTTAAATTTCTTACTCTCGACATAAATGTTTGGATGTCTGTGCTATGTCTGTACGCTTGCATTTAATGAAGTTTTAATTTGTAGACATAATTGCAGAGGAAACACGGACATAAAAGAATTTTCSGATTTTAGAATTTTCACTTGGCATTCGAAAAGAATCCACTGACAACGCCTTTCATTCATTATTCGCGCMACAGAGCATGCGCAGAGCGTCAGCGGTACAGCGATAGTGGCAGTTATTATTTACAATAACAATATAATTACGTGGYAGTGAGTCTTAGACGAAGACAGAAGGCGATATGTGACAGCTTCTGTATGTTTTTGTTGGTTTCTTTGACGATGTCGCTTGTCCGGCTGCGGAAATGCGCGGTCTCCCCTGTTTCCGCGCAATAGAGCTCGGTATCTGTGCATTTATACGGGTGTGTGTGTGTGGTCTTCATTCATAGGTAATTAACTGCTGACTGGTAGCCGGTGGCTGGTGGCTGGAGAAACCTAGCAGTCTTAAAGGTGTGTACGACAAGCAATTAAATTGCCACCCACCATTCAGCAGTTGACCTGATTACTTTGATATCTTTATCTGTATATATAGTTATAATAGTTTTTAAACAATTTTATTTCTGTTAGTATTACGACAGACGAAAAACATTCTTAAAACATTCACACTTATACAAAAGTATAAATATATTAGAAAGTACTCACCTTTACAGTTTTAAGCGATGTTAATGCATGGATGATCTGAAAAAAGAAGAGGAAATGGTTTTTAAGACTTAGCTGCAGATATTTCATATCATCCCAAAAGGGATTGACAAAATAGAAGTAAATGGTGATCCATATCGTGGTTTCCTACTTCGTAATGAAAAAACACAGAAACTTCAAATTTAGTCGAGAATGTTCATTACCTTTCGAACGAATATTCTTTAGCATTAATTTTTTTGACGATTATCTCCTCTAAATATTGGCCGTCTTGAGCTCAAATCTGCCAAGGCGATTTATTTCGTTGTTGTGTTGCTATAACTTTCATTTCGCAAATGTAAACTGTCGATAAAAATGTTTTCACATAATTCCATGCCGGAGTTGTCAATGAAACTTTTACAGTGGTTATCAGGAATTTTTTTGTATCTCATCGTAAGGGTGCTAATCGTATAAAACCTTGTCTGAAGTTGTTTGGAACATCTACATAATGATGATATAGATGAACCGTTAGARTGGTGACTACTCAAATTGTCGATATTAGCTTTGAGATCGATGACTGTATGTTCAAGATTAGTGAATATATGTCTAGACTCCGTATCTCTGGCTCTGAGTTACTTGCTAAGACTGGYTAAGGTGCCTGGCCACAGCGGTAATACAGGAAAATCTAAGGTAAATGAGCTGGACAGGTCAGGTACAAATTGGGAACAAGATTATGGGACTTCAGGTCAGTTCAGCAGTCCTAAACTCCAATGAAAGGTCTAAGTCTAAGTGTGTTACCCACGACGATCTGTCCTAAGCAATGAAATTACAACGCTATTTACTGTTCCTTTTTTTACAGTTAACCCTAAATTAATTAAACTATATCCTCCTCTTTTGGAAAATGTTGTTGTTGCCGCAGAAGCATGCGACTCTCAAGTGGAACATAGAATATCTACACTGATGGGTCAAAAATGGCTAATTGAAGGGGCGCCGGAACCTACTGCTCGGATCTGTATCTTACGTGRCCCTGCGAATTTCGTGAATACTGCGGAATCTTCCAGGTGGAAGTCTTTGCGGCCAAAAAAGTAGCTGATACAGATAACAACTTCGATATTCACGCAGCAGTCACGACTTTTTTAACTACCGTTGCCTTCACAAGTTCAATTCTCATAGCAACTAGGTAGTTCTTCCTAGCCACGTTGTTTGATATAACCAACTTCAAAGTAAAATTAAGGCTACTTTATTCCATAAGGACCTCTTATGGAAATATTTACAGCGATTTGATTGACCAATTTGTATTACAGCTATATGCTTTTATACCATATAATGGCACGATCTCAGCAATTTCCTCGGAGACTATAGCAGAAATTAGATTGTTGGGAAATAATATTTTCCTTCGGAGTGGTAAAAACTTTGTTGCAAAGTTAATACAGCCTGTTCAGGTTATGCGAGTATCCGAAAAGTTTACGAATGTTTATCAATCTTCATGTTTTTCAACTGTATCTATTTATYTATATGCCGTCTAATACCATTTAATCAATATCACATAAAAATTGCTGTGATAAATTACTAAAACTCACAAAATGCAATTTCACCGAAATCTCTTCATCAGAAGTATGCCATTATTCATTAGACAAAACACAAAGTGGAAAATTAGTAAATGTTTTCGTAAATATTTTGCATATTTTACTGCCGCTAAATATCAAATCATACACGCACTAATTTCTTTTTATCTGCAAGTCTCCTACATATATATGTGTGTATATGTATGAGTGCTACGCTAAGAGTCTTCTATGAAATTTATGTACATCACTTGTCAGCGTTGCAACTTTATGAAATTTATGCCTTTGACTTTTGCTTTCATCTCGTGATGCCACTGACGCTGGCTGCAGCGATGCCAACGACATTGCCGCGGCTGAGAGGCCTAGACTCGGGCTGATCGTAATGGAGCGACTGATGGCGCTGGTGATGGTGCTGGTGATGGCGAAAATGCACTCATTGCGGTGCGAGCGAACCCATAAATCATCGCCTAAAAAGGCAGCAACGGAAGAAAAACGATTTTTGCGAGCGCGTTGGCGGTGAGGCGCGGGGTTCAGTTACACTATGATAAATGGGATTTGCAATGCAACGCAGTTTTATTTGTTTTGAYTTTTATTGACGTAAAATAGAGTTAAAGTAAAAATCGTAGTAAATAGTGTGTATAAAAATGTCGCATAAAAAATCCATATTGATTTGTCAAAACAAAATCATGTGGCAACTTTTGTTTTCATTTGCAACTAACTCTCTCTTTCGCGCGCTCCTTCGTACGCTTGCATTTTCACTTAGCCGAGCGCTTTGTGCATTTTGTGGACGCAATAAAGATTTGAAGGGAAGAAATCACAGATCCACAATAATATACTATATAAGCAATGTATGTGTATATATATATGCCTGTGTGTATATATAAGTATGTCTAAACATTTATATAGACTATTATGCACGCACGCCTCCGCAACGAATGCGCTCCATTTGCATTAAGAAAAGCATAAATTTGAATTTTACGCCATAGTCGTCAGTGTGGCGCGTCCACCATAAAGCGGCGGTGGCGGCCAAAATCGAAATGTGCCGCAGACAGACCGACATATCTGGGCCTTCGCATCAGATGTACGACTGCAGCGGTGACAATATCGTTAGTCGCGACTGACAATCACCAAACAAGTGTGCTGCGTGCATCCACATAGCTTGTGGGACGCTGTGTTTGTTGTGTTCACTATTGTTGTTGTTGTGGCATGTTGGCCGTGCTGCACCGGCGTGGTGGGTGGCTTTTATTGGCTCCACTGTCGCCAGCGGCCACGCAGAGCCGGTAATATTAGCACCACAATAACAATAATAATAAAATAAACAACAACAATAATAATAAAAACAACAAAAACAATAACAGTATCAACACTTCAAAGAAAATAGAAAAAATAACTTCAAAAAGTAAGAAAACAAGCAACAATTGCCACCGTTAAAGTGACTGCTGCTGTTGCTGATCTGCCTTGTTGTTGTTGTGGCCAATAGTTTACTTGCGGAGACATGRCCATCAATGGCAGGCGAAATCAGTCGCCATCAAAAGTAGCTGCGATTTCTAAAAAATTTGCATTTAATTGGATGATGGCGCTGACGACAGCCGTGGATATGCTGTCGCCGGTGACAAGTTTTCTTGCCTCACAGTTGGTTGTTGTTGCATCGTGTTGTGTACATATATATGTTTTTATTTATATCGACGGAATTAAATACGAAATTGTTTGTCTCGTTCATCTTTTATTAATGTTTTCACTTTTGGTGGTTCTACTTTTGAGAACCATTTTCTAGTGGCGGATTACGAGGCTGGATGTGCTCAGGAATCATAAAATATCTTTGTTACGGGACGGCCATTTTTGTGCTGCGTTAGCTTCTAGCTATCATGCTTAATTGATAGTCAACTTCTGCGTATTTTTTTTCGAGAAAAATTTCGGAAGCTTTTCGTTATTATGTGAAGAAGTTTTAAAAATTTATGTGRTCGAAAATAATAAAGCCATGCCCTCTTTTGTTTCAGGCGAATGTATTGTCTGGTTCCCATTTGATTTCAAAGTCCCTCTTCGTCCTCGCCTCGCTATGTCAAATTGTATATTCTATTCAACGTTTTGGGGTGTAATTTTTTTCGTAGGGTTCCAAAACTAGATACCACCAACAAAGTCGAAAACTCACGATTAATCATTTTTGGTAAGATACTATAGCGTTTTAATTAACATACATACATAGGACCGCATATATTCGATTTAGATTAGTATTTTCCCCATTTACTTCGACTTCACCAAACAATCTCTAAGCTCTATCATTTCACTCTCTTCGCTTATGTAGTACCATACTGATAAAAGTCATTGGTCAACCACAATAGTGTTAGTAGAATTTTGCAATGACTGAAGATATAGATGACGTATTTATGTTAAATTTTGTGTTGCGAACGAATTTTCATGTGCCGAAACATTGGAAATGTTGCAGAAGGCTTTTGGTGTATCTGCTCTATCACAAACGCGTACTTACGAATGGTACATATCATTCAAGGAGGGTCGGGACATCGTCGAAGACATGCCTCGTTCTGGACGGCCTTCAACAAGTGTGACCGATGATAACGTTGAAAAAGTGAAGGAAATTGTTGCCAAAAATGGCCTTGTAAGCTTGAGAGAGATTGCCCATAAATTGGAGATGTCACAAGAAAGCGCACGTACGATTATGCATGAAAAATTGGCCATGCAACGCGTTATCATCCGAAAGGCGGCCCAAAAGCCGAAAAACCACGTCAAAGCCGTTTGAAAGTAAAGGTAGTGCTCATTGTTTTCATCGATATTCGTGGTGTCATCCATTATGAATATGCTCCAACTGGTCAACGAAGAGTGGGCCAACAATTCGGGAATTCTTCATCATTATAACGCACCATCGCATAAAGTCATCATTCTAAATGAATTTTTGGCCAAACACTCAACAAATATCACACCATATTCACCTGATAGGGCCCMCTGKGWMTTTTTCTTATTCCCCAYATTGAAGTGGATATACTTCGRGGAACACGCTTCCACTCAAAACAAATTCGACGCGRGAGMTGAGCGCCATCCAGGAAAGTGCCTATAAGAAATGTTTTGACGATTRKATGAAGCSTTGGCCCATTTGCATCGCTTSAAAYGTATGTTACTTTGACTTTCTTGACAGGGTGTATAGCTATTGAAATCTAAGCTCGGGAAATCAAAAACTACGAATACATCATGTACTCTTACGTTTGATTTTGACAAAGGTTGTGAAGCTTGAAGAATATAATATAAGCCTAGTGAATACGCTGGCTAAGGCACCTGAACAAGACCGCGAAAAGACTTGAAGAAACAATCATATTGGGAGCTAACTAAGGGCAGACCAAAGGAAAGATGGATAGATGCAGTGATTGATGATCTCAATGACTTTCGAAAGCAATAGTCTACTCAGGACACCTTTGCTAAGGAAAGCGAAGTTACTTGGGGTATAATATACTTAGAATTGGATAAAACGAACAAAAACCAAACTCTATAAGTCACTCATTACTCCCGTTCTGCTATATGGTGCAKAGGCATGGTCGAWRASAAATCTTAAAATATTTAATTATTATCCAATAATTTAGCCTTTTTGGCTTGTTTTTTTGTTGATATGCTACACTAAAAGTTCTTGGTGGGWCTTGGCGTTGCCACTTAAACTTTAAATGAATGATATTTCTTTTACGTGCAGAGTTCTATTTGCAGCTTTGACAAGAGTTATTTAGAAGATTTGGTTTTCTAGGTCACGAATATAAGACAATTCTTAAAAATAAACTTAATTTGCTAAAAAATAACATCAGACAAATACATAGTTAAATATTTAAATATTTTCCATTTCATATTTGCTTTGCAATTTATTGTTTATKCTTTAAAAAAATAAATATCTCTGGAATAAAAGCAACATTGAAATTTATTGGGATAATTTAAATATATTTATTAGGAATACGTTGTACATAAGAACAAAAGTTTATTCCAAAATCATCGTAAAATAATATTTCCTAAAATAAAGCTCTTATTTAATAATATATTTTTGAGGAAATCCAAACAAACACTAAAWATATWTTTWTCTGCAAATCAGAGTTGTTTTAACGAGAAGAATACATACTGGTCCGCCTGAAGGCAAAAAAATAATCCGTCAAATCTGCTCAATGCCAAATCAAAAATTAAGTTAATTTAATGCCTCCATCAAAAGCGGCCAACTGTCTAGCTGTCTGGTCGCAGACCGGAAAGGTTACAAAATCACAGACTTTGGATGATGATGTTGGCGTGAATTGAAACAATTTATGTGCGAAATGCTCTGGGCTATAAAAAATATTGAAATGTGATATGCACACATATGCACATACATATAAGCAAATATAAACATTTTCAGGCATTTCTATATATCACTATATAATTTTGCATATTTAATTAGCATACTTAATTGCTGGTGCTTGCTTTTGTTGTAGCAACAACTGTTAATCAAATTGTGTTAGCACGCCTATCTGCTGTCATTGCGGATGTGGCAATAGTTTTGTTAATCAAAAAGCCCACAATCAAAAATGCGCCTTTGCAATAGCACGAAATTAGAATGAGCATTGCCTACTCATTCAAAAAAAAAATATATATGTTGAAATACTGTAGACAGTAAGAAGGGTTAGAAAAATGTTTTGCCACACGGAATGTTGCAAGTTGTAGCTTAATGCAGGTCATGCCGCGCTTGCGGCTGGGGCGGGCAAAAGCGTGGCGCTGTCAAAACGCGCGTTCTTTCAAAGTTCTTGAATCACAACAAACGCCGCAGCGTTCTAAAATGTTTAATTGCAAAGCAACAACAAAATTCTACGAATGTTGCAAGTATTTGCATGAGCGTGCGCAATGTCTGCGGCAGATTAGAATGTTGTTTTATTACTTTTCACATTTTTTTTTTTT